TAATAGCTCCGTTCATATTAGTAGAACTATAGGTTAGGAGCAAACCATAGTCCACTTTACAAACACACATACATAAATTCATAAAGAAATACATTTAAATGTCTGTTTAGGCTTCTTGTTTTTCCTCTGTTGAACTGGTATTCCCGGAGGTTTAGACCTCAGTGTCATTTCTGGTGCTTTGGAAATCATGTCCCCTTCCAGCCGTTGTCTGTTGCCAATTAGTCCTTGAGGCACACTGATGTCTTTTAAGGCCTGATAGAATTCAGTCAGTCCCTTGGGTTGAAAACGTTTATACAGATACTGGGAGTCCTTGAGTAAGTCTGCAATATGACTCCCTTGAATGACTTGACCCTGGTAGATGAGTACACCTTTCCGATTCCAAGACAGTCTTTGGTCGGGATCATTTTGTATGTGTCTCAATAAAGCAGCACCTCTCTGTCTGTAAGGTTTAGGGAGCACGCTCAGAATCAAGTCTGCATCCATGGGTTCTGATTCATCATCAATGGTGGTAGGATGATTCAAATGACTGTCATTGACATCTGATGACGTATCCATTTTCCCACCACTCAGTGGACTCGCATGATTTTTCAAGAGTCGTTTGTATTTATCCATTGGAACGAGTACCTGTTTTTGTATATGCTCCATTACAAAGTCTTCAATAAAGGCCCAACAACCTTCAACACTAAACTAATGACAGCTACACTGTTTGACAGTAATTGTTTTTTCTGTACTTTAGATCCTGTTTTATTACCAAGGAAACGTAACACTTTTCTGTGTTTTCTCAGTGCGTTCAAATTATGCTTTGACAGAGGAACATCTGAATGTAACAGATTATAAATAATCTCTGTCAATGTTTTTAACTGTTCATCAGTGACACTTTGCAACAGCAACTTCTTTTGAACAGGGGATGTACTCTCATGCAAAAAGCGCAAGAAATATCCGTTCTGTCTGACTGTCTTTGACATAATGGTGTTTCTTTCAATGTTCACCACAATTTATACACAACAGTCTTGATCACTGGTGACTCACTGAATGAACATAGCAAACAAAGTCTGCGGTATTTATACTTTTGGTACATACACAATGGGATCTTCCCCTGGAAAAATTCTGGTTCTGAGTCTCAGTTTATCTTCTGCACGTGGAGACATATCCAACACCAGATAGCCATAAGGCTGCTTCATAGCATCTGTGTATGCTTCCACGAGAACCCCTGCACGTGCAGGAAATAACTGTTTTCCAAGGGTCATCATCTGTGAGATATCGCGCACATTCTTGAACAACACCAAGTACCACGTGTTCAGGGCTATAGTTCGTGCTGACTTGCCTTGACCATACAAGTTCTGAGTAATAAATATAACACTAAGGCATCTATGATGACAACCTTGTGTAAATAACAGTTCCATGTCTTTAGAACTTAACACTTGATGTAAAAGATCGTCCAGGATAATGAGTCCATGTTGACCATCAGAGGAAAACTGTTCAATGTCTGATTCTGTGGGTAATCCCTGTTGAAACACGAGGTTTGGCACTGTTCTTTCCATGTCGTCAAACAGGGATTGGTAGACACCATAACAGTACAAGATTTTCTTGGGTGGGTCCTTCACATACATACCCTTGATGTTCTTTAAAATGTATACACCCAATGAGTCTTTCCTGCCCCTGTTGGTCCAGATACGCAAATACTGGAGCAGGGTTCGAAGGGTGTTAAACTTTGTGTTTCCCACCAAGGTTTAGTCGGATCAACCACACTTTCTGGACTCCATGTAATAGCTGACTTGGGTGTAGTGGTTTGAACTTCAGTCATGTGCTCTCTCTTCTTCTTTAGCCAGTGCCTCTTCCCTGGAGTATCTAATTTGTGAACTTTGGATAGATGTAAGGGAAGTCTTAGTAAATGTCGAGCAGAACAACCAGGTACGGGACAGTCTTTCCTTAACCTACCCATCTTACTGAATGCATTTCACGTATGAAACTATTCCTATTTATAGTGTGATTCCCTATGGCTCCCTATGGCTGCCTGTGGCTCCCTATGGCTCCCAAATGGCTCCCAAATGGCTCCCTATGGCTCCCAAATGGCTTCCTGTGGCTCCCAAATGGCTCCCTGTGGCTCCCAAATGGCTCCCTGTGGCTGCCAAGTGGCTCCCTATGGCTCCCAAATGGCTCCCTGTGGCTGCCAAGTGGCTCCCTATGGCTCCGTATGGCTGCCTATGTGGCTGCCTGTGGCTCCCTATGGCTCCCAAATGGCTCCCTACGTGGCTGCCTGTGACTCCCAAATGGCTCCCTGTGGCTGCCAAGTGGCTCCCTATGGCTCCCAAATGGCTCCCTGTGGCTGCCAAGTTGCTCCCAAATGGCTCCCTGTGGCTGCCTATGTGGCTGCCTGTGGCTCTCTATGTGGCTCCCTGTGTGACTAGATATACATGGCCTCATGCGGCCATGACTAAACAGGAATGAGTTACTCTGACCTCAAAACCCATAAGGACAGTATCCCAGGCTGAATGGCTCCCTGTGGCTATGTGGCTGCAAGTGGCTGCCTATGGCTCCCAAATGGCTCCCTGTGGCTCCCTATGGCTCCCAAATGGCTCCCAAATGGCTCCCCTGTGGCTGCCAAGTGGCTCCCAAATGGCTCCCTGTGGCTGCCTGTGGCTGCCTATGTGGCTGCCTGTGGCTCTCTATGTGGCTCCCTGTGTGACTAGATATACATGGCCTTCATGCGGCCATGACTAAACAGGAATGAGTTACTCAGCTGACCTCAAAACCCATAAGGTACAGTATCTAAATTAGGCTGAATGTGGCTCCCTGTGGCTCCCTATGTGGCTGCCTGTGGCTCCCTACGTGGCTGCCTGTGGCTCCCTATGGCTCCCAAATGGCTCCCTGTGGCTGCCAAGTGGCTCCCTATGGCTCCCAAATGGCTCCCTATGGCTCCCTGTGGCTGCCAAGTGGCTCCCTATGGCTCCCTATGTGGCTGCCTGTGGCTGCCTATGTGGCTGCCTGTGGCTCTCTATGTGGCTCCCTGTGTGACTAGATATACATGGCCTTCATGCGGCCATGACTAAACAGGAATGAGTTACTCAGCTGACCTCAAAACCCATAAGGTACAGTATCTAAATTAGGCTGAATGACCCGTTTTGTGTATACCATTCTATACGTTTTGGTTTCTTTTCTGTTGTATATCTTTGCCGAATATTTGTCTCTGGTAATTTTCGAAGGGTTGGTAATGTCCACAGATTGATTTCTGTTGTGAGAACGCACCATGGCTTTGACAGAATCAAAGTTGATTAATTGTGAGTTGGTATAATTTAGTGTAAACCCTCTGACTTTGCAACATTCTTTGCCAGATTGTGTTTTGTAGGCATAATTTTTGGGTCCCCCTGAACAAAACATCACAATGGGGTCTCCTTCCAATTCATCGGTGAGTTCCCCCAAATAATCCCCCAAGGGTGGATTGACATCACCAGGCCTAGAGACAAAGAGGACAGAGTCAGTGTCATAATACAAGACACGTTCTTGTAGCATGTCCAACACACTGTACAGTTTAAGTCTTGCATAACAGGTGGTAAAAGTGGCAATGAAGATGTTAGTAGTCTCACTCTGAGGGATAAATTCAGTGTCATGGGTCCACTGAAATTGGGCTACATTGTCATTGAGAATATGAAAATCGTGTAGGGTCTTTTTTTTTGGGATCTGTCAAAATTGATAAAATTCCTCCAGTTTAGATGCAAATACAAATTTTGTCTGTCTCATATTGGGTCTTTGAGCATATTTACCCCAGAATGAATTCAACATTAGTTTTGACAAGGCTCTCAAACCAGGATTTTTCTCAATGTTGTCATAGTCTAACTGAATGCCTTCATTCTCCAAATATTTGTGAATGTATTGTTGTTTATCTGCTTCTGACTGACACCATGCAGGCCAACCTGAAGATTCTTGCTTGATTTTCAGGAAGGTGTTGATGTAACTGGCAAACAAACCACCCGATTGGGTCGTTTTGTCATACTGGGTGGTTTCTGCCCAGTGATAAACTTCATACACCTTTTGAACTTCATAGCCTTTCTCCAGAGCTTTGATTAACTCTGGAATGCACCACGTTCCACTGAAACCACGTTCTACATCAGTGTGCTGACATGGTGTTTGTTGCTCTGAACTGGCACAAATTTGACACAATGCAAATTTGAGTTTCCCATTCAATCTAAAGGGCAAGACTGGATGATACAGTCCACGTGGGGGTAAGATCTTGACTTTGGCAATTCCAAAGTACTGCTCTAGAGATTTGAAATCTCTGGTAATGATTTGAGGGTGCCCAACGGGATACTGACCATACTTGTTGACCTGTGGATACAAGGATGTAAAATCCATGTACAAAATGTTTTCCTTCTCTTCAGTTTCATAAAACAACTTGGAAGCATTAGTCCGACCACCGAAAAATGAATCTCTGGGATCTTATCGTTCCTGGAGATCTATGGTGGCCACATAGGTTTTCAATTCAGGTTTGGTTTTCAGTTGTTGCCTGAACTCATGTTCCCAGAGGGTCACTAACTCGTAACCCTTCTGCCTGATGGTTGCATTTCTCTTCATGGTCAAAGCATACAACTCACTGACAGACTGCTTGGTGTGAGGCAGTACTGTTTTGTCCCGGTCATGAGGATAGCATGTAGGACAACCATGATAGAGACACCCGTCAAACTGGTAGATAATGTTGCTGTCACGACAGTACCCATCCACCTTATACTTGGTCCCTGGGATCCGATATTCACCTTCATTCAACGCGTGTTGAATGTGTTTGTGTTGGGAGTGAATCAACCATTCCAGCCAATGTATGGAGATCAGACTGTATTGGTCTTTGGTGTATCCATCTCTGGGGACCTTGGCAATGGGACTGGGAAGGGTCTCTTTCTCATGAATGACAACCCCTGCTTCTTGTATTGCTTGAAGGGTTAGCCAGGACCCGGGTTTGACTTCCACCCAGTGTTGATTTTTATGCTCTTTGATGGGAGCCATGGAGTGACTGTTCCTTGCCAAAGAAGTTTGACATGAGAGTATGCTGTCAAGAACTTGTGTTTGAATACCCCATGACACACACTGGCAATGGTAATGTAATCTGTCGGATCGATGCCAGGTTCTTTCTTTTGAGCGATTTGCTGAGTTTTAGGGTCCTTGACAAGATATGTCTTTGTTGTAACAGACAATAATAATTGTCGGAAAGTCATGAGAGCTTCCCTCAAGATTTGGACGTCTGACCGACAATACTCCTCCATTTCTTGAGTAAAGTGAAAGATTTGTCCTTTTGTTTGGCATACCAAGTTAGGAAATGACTTCTGTCTTGTGTAGACATGTTGTTGATCCCATAGAATGAAGCATCAGGATAAGGCCCTACATACTGTTGGTTGACAGAGGTGTTGAAATAATGAGGCAAATAACCACAAGGATTTTATAAAATCCATACACGTCACGGGCACACAGGATTTTGTGAGGACCCTTCCCTTGAATCAGGGATCGTTTGTGCATAAATTTATATGTGCTTTAAGAAATCATAATGATTCTGACTAGCTGCGTATTGTTATATGTTTTTATCGTTGTCATTGTAAGTAAGAGAAGAAGCCAGAAATGCCGATAATTACCGTTGTTGTTTTGTGTGATTTTGCATCAGTCATGACGTCACGCTGCACAGAAACTTTGACAATTTCGTTTATAAACATATCACATTACTGTATTGTATTTATTATCAATTTGCTATTTCTTGCTACAAGGCCCTTTCCATGCATATTTTTAAAGTATTGAGCATATGCATGGTACGAACAGACGAATGGAAGTTTGAAAATTTGAGAAAATGCTAAACAGTGTAAAGTCTGAATTTTTCTTTGGTTACATTTCAAACAAATGCTGTCATTCGAACACAGTTCACCCAGGATCTTTCCTTTCATTTCATCTCGACAGTTATTATTGATGACAAAGATCAGTTGTAATTTGATTCTAAAATGTATAAAGAGTACAGTAATGCATTTGTCGCAGCTGAGTTTGAAATATACATGATGCAATAGGAGTCTCACTACCGCCTTCGCGAAACGTCATTTTGTAGACACATTCCAATATGGCGTTCATGTTGGTGTATTTTCGAAAACATCCCAACCAATTCTAAGTTCATTAGCAATGTTTCAGAATTATCATTAGTGATTTCATGAAAAAATGGTACCAGAGATCATAAATATGCTATTTTTGAAATTTAACACTTAGAGTAATTATCCGACTTTTACATTTCAATACATGCACCAAATAAGGCTGTGAATAGCCATTTCGTAATAAGTAAAAAATGGCAACATTATTTTCTTATGAACCCTATTTGGAGAGGCCATGTTCCGTATACCTAGTTTTGTTTAAGATAACAGTTGATGGTATCACGAAACAGGCAATGTCCCGCAAAATTCGAAACTGTGAAGTGTATTTGAATGCCTGATATATTTGGAATTTTATTGCACTTCAAAGTGAGGGTTGAACCCGTACGGTTTTACCTTATAAGATCTTATAAGATTCTTATAAGAATCTTATAAGATTCTTATAAGAAGATGAATTCTTATAAGATTCTTATAAGAAATAATTAGGAATAAGAAACTTATAAGAAATTATAATGGTGTTTCTTATACGAATCTTATATATTTCTTAGTGACAAAAATTTCTTATAAGAACTTTTCATCTTTTTCTTATTTTGTATGAGAAACTTATAAGAAGTTAAAATGTTCATTTTTTTACAAAATTTATTCTCTGATATGAGTGATATCTACAATAAACATAACATACATGAAACATAACATCATTGATAAAATTTGTTCTTCCAAATCTACATATTTTCTACAATTTTCAAGGGTTTGGCAGTTACATTCAAAATACATACTTTACAAATTATTTCAATCACAAATAGAGTTTATTGCCATAAAAAAACAAAAAATGGAATTTATGGAGTATTGAAAATAAAAGACACAGTTTTTCCATTGTACAACTAAAAAAAAGAGAGGTTTACTATGCTGAAATTACAAAATATTTTGGAAGATATTTTAAACAAATTGTTAAAGGTCTCATGCAATGCAAAACACAACTTTGCAGATTCTGATACCTTTTGGTATGGACTTACAGTTACCAATCATCAAAAATGCAAATTCAACTTATAAAGTTGAAAAAAAATGTGATGAAAAATACCCCGCAAAATCGGAGTTCAAACGATTCACTAATTTCACCCCAGCGCTGGGGTAAAAAGTGGTTTCAATAGCTATGCTGCGCTGCGTGCAAAGTGATTAGATTTGCATGGCTTGAACCAGGATGCCTGGAACATTGGTTTATTCACTAGATGGTCACTCAGCAAGTAATGCTTTCAAGGATTATCACTCTAGTCAAAGTTAGAGAACAAAAGATGTTTCTTGTGATTACAAGCATCTTGGATCTGCAGTAATAAAAATACACTGGTTCCATACTTTTTCACATCATGCTTTTGGGGGGTTGGTTGGCAGATTTACAAACCATTAGTTTTCAAGAAAGTAAAGTATTAGAAATACTAGTATCATCGTTAAAAAATGCTCAGCTTCAAAACTGCAATGTTTCAATTCATGTACTAGTATATGGAAACATAGAAAACAACATGTTGATTGTGATAAGCAGCATCTGTCACAGACAAAACTCAATGTCTGCTAATGACAATATGCACTTATCAGGTTATACACCATAAATGTTCTGTCTCTGTCACATTATGTAATTACAAGGACAGGCAGATGTGATACTTGTACACGACATGTTATGATGTTTGCTGATTGCAAACAAACTGCATCCATTTGTCTCGGATGAACAGATCGGACGGAAACCGGTGCAAACTCAGATTATCAGTTTCAAGTCCTACTTTGTACTTGGACAAACGTTACAGTTTCCAGCAACGCAATAGTCACCATCTCAGTTTTTGTTGATTGAATCAAATGCAAATGCAGAAAAAATCAGCATGTATTTAAAGAACCCAACATTTCTATATACACACACCTGCACGTATCGGCAAATGAACCAGCTAATGAAAATCTCTGTTACACCTGGGGGCGAGCCCATCTGTATCCCAGTTGCTTCGTTTCGATGGTACTCTATTGGTAGTAAACCCAACTACCAAATATTGTTGCACTTTTGATTTGCGATTATATGCTTATAATTTTGTTTATTCAGAAATGTATAATAAGTCATGAATAAATGATAATTGTGATTTAATTATATTTGCTTTTTTGGCTGCATGTAACCTTTAAAAATATTCTAAAAACAGGAAAAATACATTTACATCTCAAAGTACAACAAAATGATTCTAACTGATCGTAACAACAACCTCAATCTTTTTCCAAAACATTTGGTACATTACAGAGAAAAACAGCATCAGAATCGTGAACTTTGATAAAGACACACTTCCGTTTCAAAGCATTCAGATCCACAGCAGTTATTTTCTTGTCATTAGTGGACCTCACTTCCCTAATGTATTTGACTTCCATGAAGTTATCACTCACTTCCAAGCACCTAATCATGGCAAAGTTTCTTGTCACACAGACACAACTGCTGAATTCCTGACACTGACACACGGGAGAAACTTGCAGGAAAGTTTCTATTATGCCATACATATGTGATGAATCACTTGCATATAGCACAGTACAACTATTTCTTAAAAGTACACGCTTGTATGCCTCTGAGAAGTAAACATCTCCATCGACTTTGACCCTTTTAAAAGTCACTAGCTTTTCAAAAGGACCAGAAACTCTTTCCTTCACAGCATGATCATACTCTGGTGACAACTGGTTTAGGAATTTTGTTGCTCCAATGAGATAAACCCCAGCATCCAACATAGTACCTTTGTATTTTGATTTGTTTTTCAACCTACAGTAGAGATCATATGCCACACTGTTCTTTTCTATGGCAGGAATCAACTCAGGCATTTTCTGCATGACTGCAACAGCATGAGCTATCTGTTTATCAATATGCTGAGTTCCATTAAATAGCTTCAATAAAAAACCATTTGCATCTTCAAAGGGAAAGCATGAAAAGCACCACAGAGGACCTAAATTCAGAACATTATCAGGCAAGTGCAGAAGCTGGTGTACATTAAGAGTCATTACTGATTCCCCATACATCACTGGAAACATTGCAACAAATCTAGCTAACAGTATCTCGCTGTGGCGGATATCTGAAGGTTTGATGGAATCCTGCAATAGTAAGAAAATACTTTCTGATAAAAACCAAAAATGTCTGTAGTACTCTGGCATAAGAATATCATGCATGACTGTTGGAGCATAATATAACATCCAGTATTTCCATTCGGATGCCTTCCAGTAATCAGAGTCCATCAAAGATCTTGGCAATCTTGACATGTAGTTGGGAGGTTTTATTTGGAGCAGTCGTCGGTTAACTTTATCAATCAAACCAGCAACACTAAATACTTGAGCATTATGCTTACTTGCAAACCACAGTGAATGCATAAGTTTAGAGACGCCAAGAAGTACACCGTGCATATAATCAATGCCAGTTCCATGTACAAAACTGAAAAATGTGAGGTAAGAAAACCATGAGGGCCCTTTGATGCCATTTACTGGCACCTTCAATCGGACAGCATCAAGAGCATCCCTAGTCACTGAGTTGTCTGATCTAGCTGGTCCATCCAAACATTCCATGTTTGGAGGGAAGACTCTTGTATGGCCTTTTCCTACTTTCACAACCTTTCCTGTTTGAAGACACTTCACACATGACGACTGTCCATTGTACTGATTCATGGCACAAACACATGCTCTAGCAGGAAGATCACAGGTACTTGCTATCAATATAGCTTTACACTCCACTGCTCCATCTGGTGTGCTAGCCACAAATCCTTTTTCCAAATCTTTTAATGTTTTCATAAAAGGTGTTAGAAATCCTGTCATAGATGGTTTTTTAGCTCCATACCAAATCCCAGCTAAAACCATATTTTCCGGCATTCTCCTCTCTGCATAAGGTAGTCCATTTATCATTAGGTAAATTGGCCATAAGCTGGTTTTGGAACTTCTAAACGGTTTAGCACCATCTGTATTAAAAGTCAATGTCAAATCATACACTGACTTCAGGATCCCGTCGGCAACTAATTTCTTGTATTGTAAACCATCACAGATATCTTCAACTGCCTCTTCATTCCTCTTGCTACTTCTTGATTTATGTAATAAACTGGTGATGAACCTGGCGCTTGAACATTGATTGTAGTTGAGATTCTATCGGAATTTCAATGAAGCCAGACACACTTCCTTCTTCATTTAGTTTCTTCAACATAGTGGATTCTGGCAGGTGTCCATTTCTTTGGATGTTTCAATACCAAGCAAACAAAATGAACAGTACTTGTGGTAAATCAGTGGATGGTCAACATTGTGAAAATATTTCTTAAAAGCATATAGCGTAGTTGGCAGACAGTGTCCTGCTGTACAGTGCAAAGCAAGCAGATGCAACAACTCAGTTATCCCATCCGATGTAAGAGAATGCCGCGGTTGCAAAGGCCAGAATCAGTAGTATGCTGACAGATAAGGTTATCTGTGAACCCTTGTAAATATAGCTATTGAAATCAGACTCTATATTAAAATCCTCATCTTCACTGTTTTGGCAATCCTCTTCTGACAGTTCATCATCAACGAAACCAAATTCATCGCTTGAACATGTTGAATGAAAGTCATCCTCCAGAATAATGATTTCTTGCATGTCATCATCATCACTGAAAAAACAAAGATCAGGATATAAAAGAGACTTTCAATTGAAACTATGATATTTGTAATAGCTGTAATATATTGAGGATTTTTGTGTCTTCAGTGTATATCTCTTTTTCTCATCAATTGATGGCATAGGGACGACATGTTTATCAGTGGCGCAGGCTTTAGCCCATCACAAAAGGAGAGGTAAGATAGTTCACTCAAAAAACCCAAAGTATTCTTCTTATAAAATGTTTCAGTGTTGGAAATTGTGGTGTTTTCAAATCGGTCCACTTCATCAATTTCTTGCAACATCATTATTGTTGCTGCATCACCTAGCAATGACCGACGAGGATAGTGATGTCATACCATTGTAAAGATGACATCATAATTCTTTTGATATTTTTAACAGTGAACAGAGTGAATATTAAATCTGTTATTGCATAAATAGGAAACTGAAGTGCCCCAATAAATCCCATTTTTTAGTGAGCAAGTATACCCAGAGGTACAGATAAGCCGCGATTCGTAAATTAAGCAAACATTAATGTGAAAACCCAATTCCTATTAAGTCTATTGCATACAAGCACGCTTGAAGTTTTATAAATACTCAATAAATGTGATCTTACATGCGTACACACAAAATGTTCAATCGTGAGCTTTGCGCATCGGTGGATAGATAAAATAACTGAAGTATACGGAGAGGTTCTATTGTAGGACATGAACTTGACAACTTGCAGTCTTTCTTATCGTTTCTCATATTACACATCAAAGGTTAATCACAAACACTAACATTTAAACTATATTATATTTTAAAAATTAATGGAAAATGGCAAAATACCCAAATGAGTTTGAGTGAGGTGAGTACACTACAAGTTATTTGGTTACTCAAAGGAAAATTAGGATACCCAACTGAGATGAACACAAGGGAGTACATAACTCAATGACCCAAAAGTTATCTGTAGCTCTGTATGCCTTTAAGAAATACCAACTTATCTAGACTGAATAAGGACTGAAATAAAAGATCTAATTAAGAAATTATTTTTTTTCAAAATAAGTTGACTACTTCAACTTAGTACTTCCCTTTTTTCTCAATATCAGATTTCTCGAATTTCTTTGGACAAGTTGAAGATTGAAATAAAGTTTGAATTCAGACCTGCTGTACTTCATTTCCTGAAAATCCTGAATCTTGCTTGCAATTTCATCTAGCACATGTGACTGTTGTCCTGATGTTGAATCATGCTGCAACGGAGTTGCTCCTCCAATACCACCTTCACCTTCACTTGTTGCATGGTAGCTAGGCCGATTCATATCATCATCTGCAGACTGATACTGAGATGACTCTCCCTCATCTTCAAATAACACTGATTCAGTCCCTGTTTGCTGGCTCTTTGTGTTATCAACAACATCAGAAGAGCTAGGCAAATGAGAAATAACCTTGTTGTAACTTTCCATGAATGCTCTTTTAGAACTTGGTGGGACACCCTCTTTTCCAGTGTGCTCCTTGATATATCTTTTGTAAGATGTACTGACTCTTTTTCTTGGTAGGTCTGCCATCTCAAGTGATGTTTCTGAAACTATCAATATAATTCAACCTTTGAGAATAATCTGCAGCATACATTAAATGATATGTTAGAAGAATAAACTGTAAATCAACAATATTCTTTTCAATTTGATTTTGATGGTTTTTTCCATAATTATTTTTATCACTATCAGACATTACCTGAAGGAGTGATGCAAGAAATTACTGCTTTGTGCCAATATGCATGCTAGATTTTATCTAAGTGTTGAGAAAACAAACTGATTTAATCAATTCTGAAAGTTGTTAGTGAAATGATTTTGGATTTTCGTTATGTTTCATGTTTGTTGTCACCAGGTATTGAACCCTAATCAGTAATTAATCATTTATGACAAACAAAATTGCGTGTGAACTCGCGTGTGTAAATGACATCACGAATTTAGGGTACTATCTAACTGTGGGTACTAATATATTACTATGAGAACGAACTTTACGAAAGTTGTAATATTCAAAGTGAAAATCAAATCAGAATGTAGAAATTAAGTACTGTGATCTTGTTTCCATACCATTACTAAATCGTAAAGTAAACATGTACGATAATAAACCGTTAATGGACGATTTAGATCTATCTGACTGGTCTTTTTTTCATTTAAAAATTGCATGTCCGTCGTGATGTTTTCGCTAAAATGACATCAATATATATATTATAATGAATAAACGTTTAAAACGGATTATTGCTGCAATAAAATAAGTTATTTCCACAGCCTCTTACCTTTTAAGGGCTATTTTTCTCTTGAAATCCCAAGTTGACCATTTACCAACTTGAATCGGTCCCTTTCAGCTCCATTGGTGTGCTTCCGCTTTCACACGCATGCTAAAATGGGAATTCCAAAATGGTTTCGAATCGAATGCAACAGTTGATTTCTAAATTTAATCGCATAAAACGGGTTCGGAAATACTAAATTAAATATCGATTTTTAAAAATGAAATAATTATGAAAAAGATAAATGAATAATGAAACAATCCATCATTGCAGCTTGGTATAAAAAACATGAACCATAAGGCTTACTGGTTCCGATTCCTGAACATTACCGATTCTATATGTGGAAGTAACCAATGCTTCCAGTTGGCGGCAATTTTCATTTCTCCATTGTCAACGACTCAGCGATTTTGTCACAGCATTTACCATTCTTGATTCCTGTAATTTTCATTTCTCCTTTGTCAACGACTCAGCGATTTTGTTACTTCATTTACCATTCTTGATTCCTGATTTGGGGCAGCAATTTGAAGTGAAAATGGCAAAGAAGTTCGATCGTCGTGCTGTTAGAACCTACCACTTCGATGAAAGTAAGTATCGAGGATAAAACATCTGGAGGTTTGTTAGAATTAATGACCAAAGACGTATCTTTGATATGACGAAAGTACTTTATGAAGACGATTCTGAGTATCTGTTCCGTGACGTCAACTAACTAATATGTAACACTTATGGTCGAAATTTAAAATCTAACAATTTAGTAGGTGGCGATGATTCACTTAACGTTTTACCCTGCCGTCTCGGCACTGCAGTCCTGGGTATTTTAAATATATCCAGGACGATTTCATTGACATAATTGTTTAAAACCTTTATAAAATTAGACTTACAGCGACTGTGAGTCTTGATTCACCGGCCCCACCGTAAAATGCCAATCCACGAGTCTCGGCGATTTCACATTAGTCACTGAGAAGTTCATCTTCAAACAATTGTTAAATCTGTCTAATGAATTGTTTTTGAATTAATATTTCTCAACACAGTTATTTAAGGTGGATCACTGTGTTTAGTATAATCAGTGTTACTCAGATTTGATATTTGTGATTGACTTAATCACATTATAAGACACTCACTGTAATTTATTACAAACACTATTATAATACTATAGTGATAACATATTGGACTTAATTAAATTATATATATATTTGACAGACATTATAGTAGTATTTCTACTGTTATTACAGTAATGTCATTGGATTTTACTTGTTTAGATGTGTCAGTAACATATAATATTACTACTGATTTTTTAAATAAAACCTGTTATTTCAATTCATTAAAGTCAAGTGGGCTGTTGTGAGATACTTCGATGGCCAGTTGAGTGGAGTTCTCAAGGGAACAGAGGTGGAGGATGAAGAGACAGGGTTGACTCTTCAAGAGGGCTACCTACAGGAAGGAGACCATTGCATGGCCAAGTGGTTGGACAAGAAAATGTACAAGGCCAAGATTCTCTTTCTAGGATGTAAGTATAAAAAAAAAACCTTAATGATTTAAGTGAGAGTCAGTTCGTAACCCTGACTTAAGCATTTAGAGTATTTCCATTTTGAGGTTTGATTACTGAAATTTGATTGTAATGGTAGTAATTTAGGATCAGCTTTTCCTGGGTCTCATTTCAATCGGCGGCTGTGGTAGGTTTATAAATTAGATGCATTGTGTTTGGACTAAGTGAAAATGTAACGTCTCGCTAAAAAAAGATTGGATCGCTGATACAGATTTTCAACGATGTGTTACATATCATGGTATCTTGGAATGATACAATAAATAGTAGCTTCTAAGCGGACAGCTGTGTTACCATATCATTACTATTCAACAAGTTAACGATTAGGTAACATTTAACGAGTGAAAGCAAGTTTGATACTAAATTGTTCACATTAGTATACTAAAAATGGTATTTCATGAAAGTGTCAATTTAGTATCCTGTTTATTACGTGTCAAAGAGAATCAAGTGAATTCACTGACAGCTTGTTGACGCTAAGATTTTTATAACTCAACCTATGATAAAGTATCAAGGCATTCTAATGGCAGTACTAACATTGTGACGTCACAGCTGTGAAACCTTTTGACATCATATGTGCAGTGGTATTACCATAGTGCAATATTTCCCTATAAATGTTTAACACAGCAGTATCTTCATTTAGTAATAAGATTGAATGCATAACACAATTTCACCAATTATAATTTACCAACGTTTATGTGTTGCAATAGTATGTAGCATTGTAGTTTATAATTAATCCTTGATTAGTTGTAAAACTTTACAATTTTTTGGAGAAAACTGTAAATCACAGTAGTGAAAATAATTATTGATCATTTTTTGTAAGATACAGTATTATGATTATCATTGTTTCAGTATGTAATCAAAAATTACATCTCGTGATACAAACCATAGCAATAAGGCTGGGTCTAGTCTTAGCCTAGGCCGTGCCCAGTAGAAGATGAGTTCATTCAAGTCCAAGTGTTTATATCAATTGAAATTTGTTTTCTATGACATCGTACCTGCATTGGAGTTTGTTTTGTCCTTTCAGCTGACAAGGAAGAAGCTGCAAAGCAGGCAACTCTACTGAAAGTAGCCTATCCTGATAAGAAGCAGGAAAAGAAAGCTGATGCTGAATCAGAACCCAAAAAAAGGAAACTGGCCAACCCTGACAAAGCTACAGAACCTACAAAGGTATGCAATACTTTAAAAGGACACAATTCTCAAAAGATGAAGGATAAAGGATTTGTTAATTGTAGATTTCAATTTAGTTCAAACATACCATTACTAAGACATGTTACTTTACACGTCTGTCATATGCAGTGAAGGTCTCATCTTGCCGGTGTCTAGCATGCTCAGAAATAACCCAATGCCAACATTGCAGGCTTGGCTTTTGGGAGGGATAGATTAAGATAATATTGGCTGGTAACAAAGTATATGAAAAATCAGCTTGACAAAACCCAAATAGGTATCTCACTTCATGAAGTCTAATTTGGATCTATGGGACTAGACATTAAAGATTTTAACTAGAGTGTGTGCATATAAAACCAAAGTAACTACAAGCAAAAACTTGATATATTACAATCAATATTGATTAATTCTACTCAAAAACTACTTATGTCAACTTTCCCTTGGGCAATTAACCAGTGATTGTGAATCTTTATGATGTTTACAAATATTACGTTACATATATATGTTAGAAATTAATGTAATTTACTGACAATTACTTAAAAGTTCTTTATGGGCAAGTGTATAAAAATCTATCAGGGCCTGTGGCAAGTAAACATTGAAAACAAAGTAATTTGAATCCTTGTCATAAAACAAATTAAAACTGTTTTTACTCATCACAAATATAATTGACTGCAAGACCGTTTCAAAGTAAAGAAGTTTTGATGATATGAAGAGATATTGTGATGTTTGTATGAAATAATTCAAGTATTTTTTATTGTTAAAATTATATTGACTTTATTAGCTTTTAAAGATATACTGAAATTTTTAAAATCATATTTCAGAAAGAACCCAAGACTACAAAGGCAGCTGAGAAGAAGGCCCAGATTAGAGCCCAGGAGAAGATGGTGGAGGAGCTCCTGGCGGTGCAGTACGGCCATGGAGACAGTGATGAGGTGGAGGAGCTGAAGCGGAGCCTTGAGGAGAAAGATAATGTCATCAAGGAGAAGGAAGAAATCATAAAGGAGAAGGAGCTGTTACTAAAGGAAAAGGAGCAGTTACTAAAGGACAAGGATGAAGAACTCTTTGCCATGAAAGCCAACCTTGCCAGACTTGAACAGCCAAAGACAATTCCATGCCCATGCAATGGTGCTATGGCATCCTCTCTGAGGTCAGAAGGTGTTCAAAACTTTATTAGTCAACTGGCAGAATTATGTCCAGTCATAGAAGCCGCAGAAACACTGCCGCAGCCAACCAAATCATTATATATTCCTCGACCTTCTGCTTTCTCCCCTCCACCGAAATCCAGGCTTATGAGTCCACCAGCCCCACCACCGCCTTCCCCATCACTGTCACCTGTGTCACCCCAGGCAACCACTCCGTCATCACTATCATGTGGCGCTGACCTTGTTGACCTTGGCGGAGGGGTAATGGTGAAGAAAATAGTCCTAGACGCCTGCCTTTCTTCTGCCAAGGGATCGACCTCCAAGCTGGTCAGAAATTTGCTCCATGCATTTTTTTCTGACCAGGAGCTTGGGGAATCATCGGCAGAAGGGAAGGGGACGAAGGCTGCTTTGCCAACAATGATAGTGGCAGCAATAAAGGGTAATTCTATGAAAGACCTTGCAAAATTTAGCCCAAAAAAGTGTAAAACCATATGGAAATATA